GCAGAAACTGGGTCTGTATGTTTCATTGAGCTGTTAGACTATAAAGTGTTGTTACTTTAAAGCATCCTGTATTTAAGTTTCATTTAATTTCTCTGCAGGTTAAATCCTAAAATGCAACAATTTTACTAGTAGACATTAACAATTTTCATACAAAAGGAGAGAAAAGTACTTTGTGTTTTCTTCAGTTTATGTACAGACTCAAGATAATGTAGGAATGCATTTGTTTACTCTTCAGCCTTCTCTCAGTATGTCTCACCCACCCCAACAAGCAAACAAGCCGAAAATTCTCTAAAAAAGCTGAGATGGTTTGCAGCTTCTTTGAGGGAGTTTGCTTGGATGCTTCCGATGCCCTGTACCGGATATGTGCACAGCATCTCCGGAGGTTGGCAGAGAGGCCTCAGGTGGGTGGGACATCCAACCTTAATGTTTCTGTTTTGTAAGCTACAGGGAAAATAAGATGAACTTTATAATTTGTGGTAAGTGAAGTAGAATTTTTTACAGCTTGGCAAATTCTCCTCTGCTTTAAAATGTGCTATGATAGGCCCAATGCGGTAGCTCAGCAGCTAAAGTCTTCGCTTTGCAAGTGCCAGGATCCCATATGGGTGCTGGTTCTAATCCTGGCAGCCCCACTTCCCATCCAGCTCCCTGTTTGTGACCTGGGAAAGCAGTTGAGGATGGCCCAAAGCCTCGGGACCCTGCACCTGAGTGGGAGACCCAGAAGAGGCTCCAGGCTCCTGGCTTTGGACTGGCTCAGCTCCAGCCGTTGTGGTCACTTGTGGAGTGAATCATCGGATAGAAGATCTTCCTCTCTGTATATCTGACTTTGCAATTAAAACAATAAATAAATAAATAAAATGTGCTGTGATACCAGCTCACGCTGGCATGAGGATTTGTGATCCTAGGAGCCCTGAAGCTGGCACTGCACATCGCATGCTTTGGTATTGATGTTTCGGGGCTTATTCAAACCAGTATTTCTTACGTATAATGATTGTGCGACTTCATTACACATCTGTCAACTTTGGACTAATTATTTTTATACAGCGAGGGCAGGGCACTGCGCCCTGTGATCGTCTTTCTTACTAATAGGATTCTGTCTGCTTCAGCAGGCAGTAATTGAAGGCTGTATGTAGGGAGCAGGAGCCTGAGCGGGCCATTGTCACAGCTGCTGGTGGCCAGGAGCACAGAAAGCACGAGGGGACGCGAACGCAGGAAGCCCTGCAGCAGCAAAGCCGTCCGAGAGCAGTGCAGTCTCAGAGAGCCACATTCGTGTGGCGTTCGTGTGGCACGGCTGATCCTGCACCAGGCATTGGTCTTTGTGAAAAACCTGGAGGCTGAGGGGCCCCCAGGTCAAGTTCAAACTCCCGCTGTGCTCTGAAAGCTGTATTCACCACAGCAGCTGAGCTGTAAGATTCCTTTTCCTTCAAACAAAGCTTTCACCCATTGGTAGTTTCTCACAAAGCTAAAAGTTTGTGTTTTCAGTGCAGAAAGGGAATGAATTTGTGTGGTACAGATAACATAATTGTTCAACTTTGTTATTTGACCTATTTTCAGAATTCTGACAGGAGTTTTTAAGAATGAGGCCATTTTTCATTTAGCTTTAGCAACCTGCTTACTTGTCTCTTCTTTACATCTTAAGATTTCTTGTAGGCTTCGAAGATTAAGTGTCCATCGCTGAAGAGAGCAGATAACGTTAATAGGATAAAATGCTGTTTCACTTCGCAGTTGTTAGTTACAGTGCTTGGTGGTAAAGCGAAATGAAAAGTACCTAGCCACCATGCTCAGGAGTCCATCTTGAACTGCGTCCACTCACGCTTTCCCATTTGGGCATATCTGGTCTCCGAGCCTGACTGGCCTTCTGGGAGTCCCTCCCTGGGTCACAGCTCCACTCATAGAGGGTCATGTTGCTGCTGACTCTTGAGAATGGAGCCTTAGGGTGTTTAAATGTGTGTAAATCTCTAAAGACAGGAATTATGACTGAATGAGATCCGAGTCAAGTACAGTCTCTGAGAGGGAAAACCTTCCTCCTTCAGGTTGTAGGAAGAGCAGCAGGTCAGGCTCAGGTGAGGTCAGTCGGAGGCCCCAGAGCAGACTTGTGGAGAGGGCACCCTGCAGTCCGGGTGCCTGGGCTTCGGCTGCGCCCTTAACTTGGGCACAGCCCTCAGTTTCCCCATTGTGGTGAGCCACCCATGGGAGCAGATGACACCCACAGGCAGCACACCTGCTGTGCGAGGCCACTGTCCTGAAAGGGGTCAGGAAGTCCTCAGGCCCTGTGCGCTAGTTGTGAGGTGGGGAGTTGAGTGGGCAGGTGTCTGCAAGCACTGACCTTCCCTCCAGGGCACCTCCCGTGTGGGGAGCTTTGTTCTGTGCTGCCTGATACTCTGTGAAACCAGCTACAGCATCACCTGCCCTGCCGGAGTCATGATGGGATTTGGGACGGTGCTCTGGCTTTCCTTGGACCAAAACAAACCAATTGTAATCACGCTGAGTTCCAATTAAATACATCCTTCTTGAACTGTGAAATGAGAGTATCAGAACAGCTCATCTGTGCTTGTGCTTTAAAACATCGCACCCCCCCGCCCCCCCAGGCTCGGTTGCGGTGGAACGGAGAGGCCCGAGAGGGAGAGGCCGGTGGAACAGAGAGGCCCGAGAGGGAGAGGCCCGAGAGGGAGAGGCCGGTGGAACGGAGAGTCCCGGGCTGAGCAGGAGCTTTGAGAGCCGCAGGCGGGTTGCCAGGGCGACGTGGCTGACCTTCCCACTGCAGTGTGAGCAGGGCCTCTTTGTGGAGTTCTGAGAAATTTGTAGTAACAGGATTTCAAAAGCGTATGCGAGGTGTTCCTGTTCATCTAGGTAAAGGAACTCAGATCTGCCTCTGCCGAGCTGTTACTACTGCGCTGACTCGATATGCCTGGGGCTAAACAGCCCTGAAATTCAAACAGTGCTGTTGGCCATCCCATTTGGGCATCCTCTCCCTCGCTGTGGTCCCCAGGCACAAGTGTTAAGTAAATAAAAGGACTAATAACACTATTGCTGACACAGTCATAGCCCTATCAAATATTTGTTGAATGAGTTACTGGCATGATAACCTCGGCTGCTGGGAAACTTACATAAAGGAGTGGGAAGACAGAGTCCTTTGTGTCTTTTGGTAAACGAGGCTTACCAGAAATAATAGAAACAGCTTTCTCCTGACTCTGAAGAGCCTTCAAATCTAAACAAAAGAAATGCAGAAAGCCAGGAAAAGGCCTGGGTAGGAGCGAGGCCTGGCGCTCTCTGCTGCTCCCTGACCGGTGACCTGGAGGGAGTGTGTGCCGGAAGCCTGACACTTGGCGCTTCTAGAGGGAGCCGCTGGCATCTGCCTGCTGGTGGGGAAGCTCCAGCCGGTCCTCCTGTCCTTCGGAGCACTTGGCCCTGCAGCACTCACAGGGGATGGGCCGGAAGCCTTTGTGACACCCCTGTCAGCAGCAGGTTAACAGGCTTAGAGCACAGCTCCCAGCCTGGATAATATGCTTTCTGGAGTTAGCCTATTTATTTTGCTTTCTGTACATTATTCCTCTTGGTTAGAAAATTTATTTTTATGATTGCTGTTTAGGCCAAAAATGGCTTGTTGGATTTCAAGAAAATGAAGCTAATGCTTTATAAGATCTTCATATCATTTTTTTAAAATTACTTTTCATTCAAAGAGAATCTGCTTCCTACTTAAGTGACTAATATTTTAATTAAGTCAGGAGTGAAGTTTTTCTGAGTGTCTCCTGATAAACTCCCTCCTTTATGTTGATGGTAATTAAACAGACCCCAGGACACCCGGGGCCCTGTGCACAGCCCGCGCTAATCGGCTGACAGAAGACACTGACCAGTTGGTTTGCTCTCGAACAGCCCGCAGCGTGCTGGCAGCGCAGCGGGTTCATTTTTATGTATTGTGAGGCGTTGTCAGGGCTAACTGGGTGCCATTGTGACTGAAGATGTTGCGCAAATTGGGGCAGATGGCTCAGATTCAGACACGTGTCGCACAGAAAGGGGCAAGGGGATAGGCCTGCAAAGTGGGGTCGCAGCAGGTCACAGACCTGCTCCATACTTGTTAGTGTTTTCAAAAGCTCCTGCCCGGCAACTTTGTTTTTCTCCAGTCATCCCTGCACCCAGACTCCCTGCCCCCACGCGTGTGGGGATGGGAGCCCAGCGGGCCCAGGCTTCTTCCCAGTCTCTGGGGCCAAGCCGCGCATGCAGAATGAATTAGCAGGATTGACAGAAGTTCATTGTGCCGCCAACGGCTTTTCAGTCGATTGCAGTGCTTAAAAGGCTAGTTTTGCTTTTAATTCCATGTAATTAGTAGGTTCTTCATGTCTTGGAATTCACTGATAAGCTTTAGACTTCGAATTCCCTCCATTACGTTCTACAGTAAAAGGGCTGAGACATTCAAGAAGAAGGAAGGGGACAAGCACGAGGTGACACCTGGCAGGCACTCGGTTTGTTTCGTGTCATTGTTGACATTAGGGATGAATTTGGTTATTTTTGTGTGATTGAATTCATAGAGACTTAGTAAGACTTTTATAGTATATATAAGATTATTCATCATTTTCAGATACGAGGAATTAAATTCTCAAGCTCTTTGACAAACTACCTGTCTTTAACATGTTTCTAAAAGCAAAATGCTGGCTTATTTTAAGTGGTAAAATGTTAAGTAGCAAAGGATTAAAGATTTCCGCACGTGTCACAGTGGGGTCCTTCACATGCAGCTCCTTGTACAAACCAGTAAACAAAACAGACATCCTTGCTCTTCTGTTTTAAAGATACCCTGAAATTACCTGCTGTTGGTAAATACAGGATGGACAATGTATTGATTTTATTTTTCCGAAGAATGTTTAGCTTTGCTTTTTGGCAGTAGAGATGCTACGATAAATTATTTCATTTGAGAAAAAAAGTTATTTTAACCCTATCTGAATTTATGCTGTCTCCTTCTCTCACCCTGTCATGATAAAAGCTCTTTCTCTCTTTTTTTCTCTCTCCAGGTTTGCAGCTAAAACTGTGCACAGTGGGTCACTGATGCTAGTCACGGTGGAACTGAAGGAAGGCTCCACGGCCCAGCTTATCATAAACACGGAGAAGACGGTGATTGGCTCCGTGCTGCTGCGGGAGCTGAAGCCCGTGCTGTCCCAGGGGTAACCTGCTTACATCTGGACCTGAGGATCTGGCACACGGCGAAGGGCCTGGCATCCACCACTGCTGCCTTTCATTTACAATAATAGCCCTTCCATCTGGCAGTGGGGGGATGCACTCCTGACACCCCGGCTCCCACTGTCCAATGCTTGTGCCTCCCCCACCTCGCTTTGCTAACCAAAGAACATAGATCTGTCAGTTATCTCAGCTCCTCAGTCTGCGGGCCGCTCTCTCTGCCCTGCTCCTTCTTCTGGCCCCTTTCTCTTCCTCCCCTCTCTTCTGATGATGATGGACATGAATGGGATGCTGAAATTTCCCTGGAAATCATCTTCCCTTCAGCAGGAAGCAGAAATTAGCAGAGTCCCACTGCCTTGTTGGTATGTGAAGATGAGGTCGCACACCCTGTAGAATTAAAGGCACAAACTTGGTCTCTGCAAAATTTAGTTCTCTGAATTGCCTAGTCTTCTAATTGCTTATTGATAACTGCCATCATGAAATTGTTTCTGAACAATAAGATGAATAAATGAGCATATGAATAACAGTTGTCTTTGCATTTTTAATAAGGAGCTATTCCTAATCCTGGGTTCACGTGATGAGGCTTCTTTGTTCTCAGGTCAATATTTTGAGTGTCGCCTTAAACGCTGAAGCAGCGAGGTTTAATTAGGGAACGGAAATCCACTTTGAACCCAGGAAAGTTTTCTAAGTCCATGGACAAACGAGCTGTGTAAGATTAAATGCAGAACCTTCTTGTTGGAAAGGAAACAGCTTTTTCTACACACGTTTCCTCTGTTGTTAAGGATTCAGCAAGGACAAGGCTGGACACTCACAGAATGAAATCCTGACGTGTCGTTTGACAGGTATGTGAGTGTGTATCGCGGCTGGTGTGCCTCATGTCTGTGTGTTTGTGCGTGTGGGTGGGTCATCACTCCCATCCAGGCACCTGGGCCGTCAGAGACCCGGGTCCCTCTGTGGAGGCCGTTTGAGTCAGGGTCCAGGGTCAGATGGTCTGCCCAGCCCATTGGCACAGAGCCCACAACCAGCACATGGTCGAGAGCAGGGGAAGGCGCAGAGGGGTTACAGGGCTGCCGCAGGACGCGGGCAGGGTGGCCCAGAAGCTGCAACTGGGCCCCTGTGGGCTAGGCTTCCTCGTGCGCCCGGGCCTTGGGCCTGCCTTCTTCCTCAGAGCACTGACAGTACTTGACCAGCGAGCGTGGGTGTCTGCGTGTGCTGTCCCCTGGATGATGCGGGGCTTTTAAAGGTGCGTTGATTTCAGGTTTCTAACCTGTGAAATGCATGCGTGCAGACCAGCTGACATTCTCACCAGTGGGTAGGCTGACAGCTGAAGCCATTTCAGTGTCACTCTTCGATATCCCATCTCTCACATGAATGATGTCAGCACGCTGACCACAGTCCACAGTTCAGGTGAGGCTAGAGGTCATGGGGGTGGGGCAGAGATTCAGGTCTCCTTGCCTCATATTTCCCATGATCATCTTTAAATTGTTCCATTGAGTCATGTTAGACAATGTTGGATTTTTAATTCTGGCTGTATTTTTTCATTTAATGCTCAGTTAATGGGACATTTTATGTACACCAATCTTGAAGAATGGCTCTCTTAGTGTGTTTCAGACCGAGCCTCATTCTTGGTATCACAGTACACTTGCTTTATTTATTATAGAAAAGGAAAATTTGTATTCTGATGAGATAGTAACCATGAGCCTACTAAAACACTGTATTCTTTTACTGCTTACCAACATTTGCATAATTGTACAGTAGAGTTCAGAGTGTGCCCTTTTGCCTGTGTTTCTGTAAAGAATTTTGATGTGTTAGATGTGAATCCAGAATGATGAATAATGGATTTTAAAGAAAAGTTGGGGGCCTGGCATGATACCTAGTGGCTAAAGTCCTCATCTTGCATACACCAGAATCCCATATGGGCACCACTTTGTGTCCTGGCTGCTCCAGTTCTGATCCAGCTCCCTGCTGGTGGCCTGGGAAAGCAGTCAAGGACAGCCCAGGGCCCTGGGACCCTGCACCCACGTGGGAGACCCGGAAGAGGCTCCAGACTCCTGGCTTCAGATTGGCTGAATACCAGCCATTGCAGCCACCTGGGGAGTGAATCGGAGAATGGAAAATCTTCCTCTCTGTAAATCTAACTTTCTAATAAAAGTAAATAAACTGAAAAAAAAAAAGAAGAAAAGTTGGGCCAGCTAAAAGAAAACCTAAGATTGTTTCCTGAATTTCCCTGAACTCAGTAGGAAACTTGGTTGTAAAGGAGAAAAACACAACTCCTTGTCCCTGTGGCGTGGAAAAGGCATCCCTGTCGCCACACCTGATGGAGCCATCCCACCGCCCCGGTGTGCGGAGAAGCGCAGTGAGTGCCATGTGAGGGTAGCGAGGCACAAGGCACGTCCTCTGACTCCTCCCAGAAAAGCCCACTCCCTGATGGGCAGAGAACGAAGGGGCAGCATGGACCCGGCCAGCAGCGCCAGTCGGCAGCGAGCTCTGCTTTGTGCTGAGACTCCAGGCTTGTACTCGGTGACAGTGCTGAGAGGAGTGACTGACCAGGGGACTCTCCCCACAGCTGCTTGTGTGGCTGCCTGTGGACAGCATCCAGGCGGACTGTGGGTCACCTGTGTTAGTCATGTGACTTCTCCCTGCCCCTTTTCAAGCAGGACACATTTGTGATTTGACTTGGGGCGCTAACCACCATGTTCATCCTCTCCCAAGGAAGCCATGGTGGATGGTGTGCAGTCACCTGACCAGCAGTGGTCGCTGGGCTGTGGCCTCTGGAGGAGTGAGGCAGCTCCCCACAGGGCTACCTGGGGAGCAAGTGACCATTGGTCTGAAAAGGCTCAAGCCTCTGAGGCCGGGAAGCAAGGCCTCAGAGTGGGGTAGCCTTTGGGAAAGAGGGCAGGGAGCCTCCAGGAGTGTGAGGAGGGCCTGGGACGGTCGGTCCTTCAGCATGCGTTTAGGTGCAGCAGCATTTGGGGATCCATGGGTGGGATCTTTGCAAGTCGCATTTCCCTGAGCTCTTTGCAGGACCCCCCCCCCATGTATGGATTTCAAAACGTTCTTGTATGAGGATTAACTTTTAATCGCATTTCTCTGTGTTTTTGAAGAACCCTTGTGTTGCCCTCAGCTGATCTTAACAATGGCTTTTGAAGTTTTTTCAATTGTTTTAGCGATTTTGTACAAAAAGCAGTGGTGACCACAGGTCTGAGCATGGTGTGTGTCCCTGCTTGGTCCTCTCTCAATGTCACCCCGCAGGCTGCCACTCCATAGGTATGATGTTGAGGTCAGCGATGGCTGGCAGAGAGGCCTCGTGCAAAGCCAGGCCGTGCTCTCAGTCAGGCAAAGGAAGGAAAACAGGCCTGCCTGAATGCAGGTCCCGTGGTTCTTGGTGATTTGGGTGGTTTCTGGTGCTATTATGGGTTCAGAATTGAAGCTCACGAAGTGGCTAAAGAACACCATTGATTAGCACCTGTTTACTGGCTAAGTGATTGTGAGTGGAGTGCTCTGGTGAGCAGGGTGTGGATTCCGAGCTGGTTGACGGGCTGTGAGCAGGCCTCAAGCCCTGGGACACAGAGGTAGGCTGCTTACAGCTACGCTCCTCTGTGTGGTTCAGGCTCGAGGGCTAACCCGGAAGTGCTGGCTTCAGTCTAAAACATTCCAAGGGTGTTTAAGAAACCACACCAGCAGGTGATTCTGCTGGTCAGCACCTTCACGCTAGGCCTCGGGGCATTGAGCTGGCCTGCCCACCCCTGTCCTGAGCTGCCCTGATGGCAGAGGGGGCCAAGGAGCAGGACTCCTAGACATGACCTCCGGAGCCAAGCTTCCTCCCTGTGTGTCAAGCCGGGGGGTGGGCTGACTGGCCCCTCAGGGAGAATGGCTGGCTCCTGTTTGTCTTCTGGCGGTGGGATCGGCCTGGACTTCCATGGAAGGTTCTGTCTGCTTCGTGACTAACAGTTGGCAGTTAAGACTGGGACCTCCACAGAAGCACATCACAGGGTACCTTTGCGTGGTGTTGGGGTGGCCTGTGTGCGGGTGACCCTCTGCTCCTAGTGAGCTTCATGACTGAGTTTTCAATACTCACCCCCGTTGGTTGACAAACTGCGATGAGCAGCAGCAGGCATGGGTGCCCCCTTGGCACCATGAGTGCTGCCCTTGGAGGGCTAATGGGCAGCTGCCTGGAAACCTAGCAGTGCCCAAGTTCAAGTTGGACTTTGGGAGCCTTAAATAATTAAGCCACTGAGCATGAGGGGCCTTTTCCCAGCCCACCCAGACACACCTTTACCCAAGAATGCGCTTTCCTTAGGTCTCTAGAGTCTGCATTTTTCCCAAGCTTCTTCGGAAGCATAGGGTCCTGAACAAAAATGTTTTGTAAACAAAGTTATGGCCAGCTCTGTCTCCTAATTGGAAGTCGTTATGATTGCGGTGCTGTGGTGTAATTACCTAAGGAAACGTTATTTGATGATTAAGATTCTGGAGTGAATTGTGAGCCGTGGGCCTGCGCGCTCCTCCGCCGGGGCCGGGGTTTCAGTGGTGTGCAGCTGCCGCCGCTGATTTACAGTGCAGCGGCTGTGGCTGCTCATAAATAAATCCTCTTATATAGTTGTTATGAACACCTGTTAGATCATCTGTCAGCAAACGCTGTTCACATTTATCATGGTGCGCTCATGATTGTGCCTCAATCCATTTCCAACTGCCTCAGCCGCCGTCGCCAGATCACTGTTACCACACCGTAATCGCCCGCTCCCACTCCGCGTTACAACTTGCAGATAAAAGATTTCACTACTTGGCCAAATTTCATAAATAAAGGAGCAGTTCAGTGCAGTAAAAGTTTATTTTTGTCATCATTTGTCACTCCATTATTCTATAAATCAACTGTGGTGGCACCATCACTAGCTCAGACGTCCCCGTCAGCGCCAAGCGTGAAAATGGCCCGTTTCTTCCTTCGGATGACGCGCCGTGTCTTTCAGACTTAACTGGCTTATGGCTTTGTTTCACCTGTTTTATTTTATTACCCCTTCAGGAGCATCCCAGGGAGCAGGAAGACTCAGAGAGACATGGAGACAGAAAACAGACTCCAGCACGACTGGGGGAGCTGGGGCTCACCCCCTCTCACGCCCTGCAGTGGCCACAGCTCAGGATGCTGGGGTAAGCCTGCCTCCGGGGGCTACAGTTCTGTTCTAGATTGGCCAGCCAGCAAGGCAGCACAGAGCTGGGTACTCCCTGGGCAAGCCAGTGTTGAGACCCTATGGAGAAGTGACCAGCAAGTCAGCTGGCAAACCGTACCTGGGCAGCGTGAGGCCCTGGCGCTCGGCGCCCACAGGCCTGCAGGACTCCAGGTGTCTGCACGCCCTGTAAGCAGGAGGATGACAGAACCCAGGGATCAGGTGAAGACAAGTGTTCAGAGTTGGCTGTTGTACTGGAAGGTGGGTTCTCACTGTGGCTCCCTTCTCGAGAGTCGTTACGCTGCTCGTAATTTCAATAAAGTGTTTTACTGTTACTATCAAGATGACAAGAGGGGGGTTTTATG